TTGGAAACAAAATTAAAACTATCAAGTCCAAACAACACTAATTCCAAGTGGTCATTGTTTATTTTTCAGCGAATTATTCTCTCCGTGACTTAATCTTATATTAATTATTTTAATTATGCAAAATTTCGAAGTTTAAAACGAAACAACTGTAATTGAAAACAAAATTAAAATTATCAAGTCCAAACAACAATAATTCCAAGTGGTCGTTGATTAGTTTTCAGCGAACTATTCTCTCCGTGACTTAATCTCATATTGATCATTTAAATTTTGCAAAATTTCGAGGTTTAAAACGAAACAACTATCATTGGAAACAGAATTATAGTTATCAAGTCCAAACAACACTAATTCCAAGTGGTCGTTGTTCAGTTTTCAGCGAATTATTCTCTCCGTGACTTATTAGTCTCATATTGATTATTGAAATTTTCAAAATTTCGAAGTTTAAAACGAAACAACTGTAATTGGAAACAAAATTCAAACAATCAAGTCTAAACAACACTAATTCCAAGTGGTCGTTGCTTAGTTGTCAACGAATTATTCTCTCCGTGATTTAATTTCATATTGATTATTTAAATTTTGCAAAATTTCGAGGTTTAAAACGAAACAATTATCATTGAAAACGGAATTACAATTATCAAGTCCAAACAACACTAATTCCAAGTAGTCGTTGTGTAGTTTTCAGCGAATTATTCTCTCCGTGACTTAATCTCGTATTGATTATTTAAATTTTGCAAAATTTCGAGGTTTAAAACGAAACAACTATCATTGGAAACAAAATTAAAACCATCTAGTGCAAACAACACTAATTCCAAGTGGTCGTTGTTTAGTTTTAAACGAATTATTCTCTCCGTGACTTAATCCCATATTGGTTATTTAAATTTTGCAAAATTTCGAAGCTTAGAACGAAACAACTGTCATTGGAAACAAAATTAATTCAATCAATTCTAAACAACATTAATTTCAAGTGGTCGTTATTCAGTTTTCAGAGAACTATTCTCTCCGTGACTTAATCTTACATTGATCATTTACATTTTGCAAACTTTCGAAGTTTAAAACGAAACAACTATCATTGGAAACAAAATTGAAACTATCAAGTGCAAACAACACTAATTCCAAGTGATCGTTGTTTAGTTTTCAGCGATCTATTCTCTTTGTGACTTAATCTCATATTGATTATTTAAATTTTGCAAAGTATCGAAGTTTAAAACGAAACAACTATCATGGGAAACAAAATTGAAACTATCAAGTGCAAACAACACTAATTCCAAGTGATCGTTGTTTAGTTTTCAGCGATCTATTCTCTTTGTGACTTAATCTCATATTGATTATTTAAATTTTGCAAAGTATCGAAGTTTAAAACGAAACAACTATCATTGGAAACAAAATTAAAACTATCAAGTTCAAACAACACTAATTCCAAGTGGTCATTGTTTATTTTTCAGCGAATTATTCTCTTCGTGACTTAATCTTATATTAATTATTTAAATTTTGCAAAGTATCGAAGTTTAAAACGAAACAACTATCATTGGAAACAAAATTAGAATTATGAAGTCCAAACAACACTAATTCCAAGTGGTCGTTGTTTATTTTTCAGCGAATTATTCTCTTCGTGACTTAATCTTATATTAATTATTTAAATTTTGCAAAATTTCGAGGTTTAAAATGAAACAACTATCATTGGAAACAAAATTAAAACTATCAAGTCCAAACAACACTAATTCCAAGTGGTCGTTGATTAGTTTTCAGCGAATTATTCTCTCCGTGACTTAGTCTCATATTGATTATTGAAATTTTCAAAATTTCGAAGTTTAAAACGAAACAACTATCATTGGAAACAAAATTAAAATTATCAAGTGCAAACAACACTAATTCCAAGTGGTCATTGTTTAGTTTCCAGCGAATTATTCTCTACGTTTCAATCTAAATATTGATTATTGAAATTTTGCAAAATTTAATTTATATTCTTCCTTAACATTAGGGGGTCATCAATTAATAGGATATAAATGCCGGAAATGATTAAAATTCACGTCCAAAGATGAAAGTTTCCTGATTTAATGCATTTACTGTCGAAGAAATATTCCTCTATTTTTCTAGGAGAACACAAGGAAAGCAAATATTTATAATTACTTTTAGAAGGAGGAAATTAATTACTATATTGTTAGTTCGTGTCAGTATATTGTTACTTTCTCATAGACGTTATTACGATATTCGGAGCTCACGCAAAACCTTCCAAAATAAATTGTTCCACGCTTTAATTGCTTATTAATTTACATCTGGCTATGATATCTTTTTATTTGCTCATATTTTCAAAAAGTGGCAGGGGTATTGATCTTGCAATATTTAATATTCATCGACATAAAAAATTTTCCGTCTGAAAGAAATATAGTTTTCTATTTATAATTCATATACAGTGAGTCTTTGAATTACGTGTATCTATACAGAAAAAATGTACTAAATAAAAATTAATCAGTTTCTAACTAACTGACAAACTAACTAACTAATTGCAAACTAATTAACTAAGTGACTAACTGACTATCTATCTGCAAATTAACTAATTAACTGACAAACTAACTAACTAACTGAGAAACTATCTAACTAACTAACTAACTGACAAACTAACTAACTAACTAACTATCTAACTAACTAACTGACAAACTAACTAACTAACTAACTAACTAGCTACAAATTGCAATATAAAAACTACCAAACAAATTCTTTATTCAAAAAAAGTCAAGGTCACTTATATATTATTAAACAATTATATATTATTAGACTACTAATATACATTTTAATAGATGTATATAGATCTCAAGATTAATAGTAGTGTATATATAATATAATATATTTATTGTATATTAAATATGTATACAAAAGAACAGACAACAGTTTCAACATTTATTATGAACCAAAGTGTATGGTAACAATTTTAAACATCCCTGATTTCACTTCTTTTTTTGCTGCAAAGCCATTCGATGGCGTACAATACAAAGTGAAAAATATACAATGCCATTTAAAAGAATGAAGATGATTTGGACTTTTTTCGAATAAAAAAATTTGTTTGCTAGTTTTTATATCGCAATTTGTAGCTTTAATCAGAAACTGATTAATTTTTGTTCGGTATACACTCATTTGGTACTCGTATACGAATTTACATCTACATTAAACACAGTTCTCTTTTTCGACGAAGAAATACATAACAGGTACGTTTAATTTTAATTTTGAAATTAACCCTTTGCACCCATATGTCGAGTGTGATTCGACATCAATTTTTATCTCAGGAGCTCCCTCCTCAAGTCCCACGCGACAATTTTTCAAAAACCAAAGAGATATCGTACACTCGAAAGTTACAAAAATGCAACAACAGTGTAAATAAAACAGACACTTTAACAGGTAAATTTCAAACAAAACACTTAAGGGGTCTGGTAACTCTAGAATATTAAAAAATTCGATTTTTTTTTTTGGCTTAAATAATAGTTTGAAGCCTTAAAAACTGTTAAAGTTAATACCAGAGTGATTTATTAGAATTTAATACATAGTGGTACATCAAAGTTTAATACATCGGTGGAATCGCAGATCGCGTTAACGAATACAAGGGGGAAAAACCGAAGTGTCGCCACAAGCGGCGACGCGATCGTCAACACACAAAAACCTTACAGAGTGGCCAACACAAAACATGGCGCGCGAATCAAACGCACAATAACAAAAACATTATGCGAAAGGTCTCAGTGTCGGAACAATGTGTTTGCTGAAAATTTAGAGCCCCAAACGATGACGTGTATCTGCGTCTTGTAGCGCGTTAAATGCATTTTCCACGGAACTATGTTTTACAAAACGGTGTGCAGCATTACTCCAGTTCTAATTAATCAATTGCTTTGAAAATTTACAGTTATCTTTACTATTATATTTATTAGGCATTGACGATCCGTTTTTTTCAAAATTGTCAAATAATTCTGCAAAATATTCGTAATAAGAACTCGTTTTTGTGTTAAAATTCGATTTTAAGTTTCAAATATCTGGCACATTGTTCATTTTTCTATAAATTGAAATGTCTCATCGTCAATGCCTAGGACATTTATCATAGTTAATGGAATATTTCGGTTTTTGTTGTACATAACAACCATTTTATCGCAATCCTGCACACCAGCTGGGCATCAAAACAAGAAGTGGCTCGGGAACATGGCGCTGTGTAGGCTTAATTATAAATATTTTTTAAACATTGCCAAGGGTTTTTTTCAACATTTGTTATACCTAAATACAGTACAAAGTTTCAGGATAATTGAATGCTTACTTTATCTTCAGTGTTGCTTAAAAGAATGCCTCGTTTTCCATACCGCTAGAGGTACCAGACCCCTTAAAGGCGTTGTTGGGAGCTGCTGGTAACAAAATTGAAATATAATTCTAAGCACAAAGGGTTAACATCGTGACCGAGTCGAAAATTTCAGTCAGCCTGTCCACATCCCCCGTTAAAATAATTTCTGTCGCATTTTGAGAACCGACAAAAGAATATCAACAATGAAAAATTCTAACGGTTGTAACTGCCAGAGTTTGGGAAACACTGATCTATCGAATCGCACGTAAGAGAGGAGCAGCGTTCCTCTAGCAGCGGTGAGTTCTTCCCTCGCGGAGTATAATTGCAGGCGTCGTGCTTTCTTGCTCGCTTCGGCCGATCCTCTTGAAAGACAGCCAGGACCGTCGTCCTCGCGCGTCCGTCGCTGACCGTTTGTCCTCCACGTCGGGTCTCGCGTTCTCCACCGAGCCCCCCATAAGTTTTTCCTTCTTTTCACGTGACCGGGACATCCTAGTTTCTCTCTCGCCGTCACGGGTGCCCCGTCTCGCTCTTTCCTGTTCGAACTCGTGACTCGTCGTCGGTCCTCGCGAGTGCCTCTCGCGGCACCTCTCGCTTTCACTCGTCCGTGTGAAGAGGCTATCGCGGGCCCCCGGAGCTCAGTATCCGCCGGACCGTCGTCGCGTGGCTCGATGTCGTGGTGCACCGGTGCATCCACTGATCTACCAAACAGTTTCGCTACCTTTCCTTCGATTTTCGACGATTTTTCGCGCGTCCAGGACCTACTATAACCCCCGACGGTACAGTGATCGGTTCAGAGACGTGAGAGGATCCCGGGTTGCTAATCGTCGCGACAACCCCCCGGTGGTGGATCTTGTTGATCGAGATGGGCAGGATGGACTTGCACAGGTAACCAATTGTTGCGAACAGAAACACCAGTTGTCCCCCTATCCAGCCTTTACGGACCACGTATTTTTAATTGCCCTCGCGTTGCTCAACATGTAACGGGTTAAGTAACGCGCGCGGGCGATTTAGAAATGTCACATTACTTATTAAACGGTTAGCAATAGCTATCCGTGTCCGGAATACATAACGCCTGGTCTGATAGCGGGGAAGAAATCGCTGACAGTCGCCACTTTAAGCAATCGGGTCTTAAAATACGCTCGTGGATTACGAATTGAGAATATTATTTTTTATTAGTTTTACGGGACGAACAGAAACGGTTGAACATTTATTTTTATTCTTTGTGGGGTGATCCCCCGTTATGGGCAAAATAACGCTTTTTTTTCTCGTTTGCTCTCACTGGCTGACGTTTTAACTGTAATTGCTATTTTCGCGGATCTGAAAATCGGTATTTCGACTAACAGAGCACATGTTATTCGTGTTGCCTGGTCGACGCTGCTCGAGAGACGAGGGGATCCCCCCGTTGAGACGCTGGCGTCTATGGACAAAATAACGCTTTTTTCCCTCGTTTGCTCTCATTTTAACTGCAATTGTTATTTTCGCGGATCTGAAAATCGGTATTTCGACTAACAGAGCACATGTTATTCGTGTTGCCTGGTCGACGCTGCTCGAGAGACGAGGGGATCCCCCCGTTGAGACGCTGGCGTCTATGGACAAAATAACGCTTTTTTCCCTCGTTTGCTCTCATTTTAACTGCAATTGTTATTTTCGCGGATCTGAAAATCGCTGTCTCTGCTAACAGAGCACATGTTATTCGTGTTGCCTGGTCGGCGCTGCTCGAGAGACGAGGGGATCCCCCCGTTGAGACGCTGGCGTCTATGGACAAAATAACGCTTTTTTCCCTCGTTTGCTCTCATTTTAACTGCAATTGTTATTTTCGCGGATCTGAAAATCGGTATTTCGGCTAACAGAGCACATGTTATTCGTGTTGCCTGGTCGACGCTGCTCGAGAGACGAGGGGAACCCCCGGTTGAGACGCTGTCGACGATCTATGGGCAAAATAACGCTTTGTCCCCTCGTTTGCTCTCATTTTAACTGCGATTGTTATTTTCGCGGATGTGAACTTTAGTGTTTCGACTAACAGAGCACATGTTACCTGGTCGACGCTGCTCGACGAGGTATTTCGGTTCGCGTTGGCGCGTGTGCGGAATGAAAATCGGAGATTCGCCGGACGACAGGAAGCGGCCAGCTAAAAAGTGAAAGTTAATGGTATTCGTTTTTCAAATTTTCGAGTCACGAATGCTCGACTAGTTCGCCAGACGAGCAGACGAGCAGACGACGTTCTCGATAGGATCATTTGCGGACGTTACACCGTGTAATTTTTACGAACACGGAAACGAAAATGGCGATACCGCCCGCATAACGAGACTGTCTCTTTCGAGCACAAGTGTCGAAAGAGCGCGTTTTTACAAACAACATCGCGAATCTTATCGACCAGAAACTCTATAAGGTATTGACACTGGCAAAATGGGGACCAAATAATGATTTTAATAGAACTTTGACACGTGTTTATTCTGAAACCTGTTGGTCTCTTTTTTTTTTTATTAGTGACACTTTTTTCGGAGGTAATGTTTGTATTCAGTTTTGGAAATTGTTAATTGGTGAGATTTACGTGAAACGTGGTCGTGGTCCATTCATTATGGTCCTTAACATTCATAGAGTCTGACTGCTTTGAAAAACGATATTTGTTTAATCTAACGGTTTAAGGGATGATAATGTAGGAGATTTGTGTTGAATATTTGTGTCACGCTGTAGTTTGGTTCAATGTTAACTTATGTGCAAAAGGGTTGAAAGTGTTTTGTTAAAAAAAGAGGGGGTTACTAGGGGCAGCGAGACAACGGGCAGAGAGTAACGAGTGATTGGAAAAGACAGACGTGATTTGAATTCGTGTGGTCAATTAATGTGATTTTGATTTGTGTAAAAAGATTGTGTGAATTAAATTCGTTCATTTAATTATATTATTAGTACATTTGTTCAAAATACAATTCTCTTTTTTAAATACTACAATAATATTTGTTTTCTTTCAAATTAAACATTGTAAATAACAAAAACCGCATTTTTAGAAACGAATCCAATAAAGAAAACTGATCATTCTTGGTTGACCCGAAAAATATGAGCGTTGAGGGGTTTAATAAACACTACTTTATTAATACTGAACACTAAATTTATATTTTTAAATGTACATGTAAATACGTGTAAAAGAACATGGTTCAACGTAATTTTAATTCTTTATCCAAGAATTTGTCCTGTGTCCATTTTACCATATTTATACATGTGTCGTCCAGACAGGGTTACTAACTACTGAACATGCAACTAAGGTAGAGAATGCAGTGATTTTTATTGCAACAGAAATATATCGAATATTTTTTTCATGTAATAAATTATATTAGATCGAGATTACCATAAGTAGCTTTCTTTAAATACACGTCAGGAGCAATAAATTTATGAATTTTTAGTATTCTTTTGACTGACCTGATGCTCATCACCTAGATGGATTTTTTTTCTAATACAAATTAGTCTATTTTGCATGAATAGAATGAAATTTCATATAGGAAAACATAATACATAAAAGGGAATCATGCAGTTGATATTATAATAACAATATAAATTAATAATATGGATTGATGCTTGATCGAAAATTAGCATTCAACGATTTAGTTTGTTTCTTTTTACTTCAATCGTTTTTACAAAAATGTTTAGTTTTGTAATAGATACAAAATTATTTTGAGGAATGTGACAAGAATATTGTAAATTTTTGTTAACACCAGATTTCGTTAGCCTTATCATGATTACTCGGATTAAACGTAAAATAATTGCTAGAAATTAATTTTTAGGATACGAAAAAGATAATGAATGAAATAAATTTTTGTCAACACCAGATTTCGTTAGCCTTATCATGATTACTCGCATTAAACGTAAAATAATTGCTAGAAATTAATTTTTAGGATACGATAAAGATAATGAATGAAATAAATTCTTGACCCCATTAGGAATAAAAGCAGGGAATAATAATATAAATATATCTAGATACTAAAAAAAAATATAATTTTTTAATTTTCTATATAAAATAAAAGTATCACATATTATGTATTGATCTATCGTGAAAATACAATAAAATTAATTTAAATATTAATTCACTAAATATTCCGACTATGAGGTTGTATCATATCTATGGTTCTTCTAAATTCTGACTTTTGTTTCATAATTTTACAATTTTTCAATATTCTTTTTCCCCTGTCATATTTAAATGGAAAGATGCATGTTTCGCGATATAAATTGCAATGAAAATTCACTGTGTTAATAAAAAATTTCGTTTAATGAGGAAACGAGCAAAATAGTGGCGCTTAATTTTCATCAACGAATCCTCTTGCCAGCGTGGTTCCGGTAAATTAAACATCGAAACGCCGAGGGAATCATAAATGAATTTCGCTGACGATAATCGTCGATCGATTGCCTATCGAACGTCGTAATTGCACCGTTTATTCGCGTATGGATTCCACGTAACGCTTCTTTTACATACCTGACAGTTAACTATCATTATTACATTGTTATTTACGATTTGATAGAAGACTTTTAACACTAGAAAGACTGAAACTTAATATACTGTACCTATATTGCCCAAAAGCAGTCAAAATTACTGCATTGTGAAAGAATAACTAACGTGCAAAGAAATTTGTTTAAAATTAATTTTTAATATTATGAATTTGGGGCGCAAAAGAAATAAAATAAACAACTTGCACAAAGATTCGAATAACAAGTACTACTTTAGCTTATTGAGAAACTGCAACTAATCAAGTATACGCCCAAATCGACAATTTATCATGTGTTGGTAATCGAAAAAAAAATGAAAACTGTTATTTCAATACAGAACTAAACTGGTCATATAAGAAATTTACTCGATTCAATAATAAGAGTCGTTTGATTATTTAAAATTTCCCAAGCAGTCAAAATGACTGCTTTTGGGCAATATAGGTATAACACATACAGGGTGTTCGGCCACCCATGGGAAAAATTTTAATGGGGGATTCTAGAGGCCAATATAAGACGAAAATCAAGAATACCAATTTGTTGATGGAGGCTTTGTTAAAAAGTTATTAACGTTTAAAGTTCCGCCAGTACTGAATTTTTTTCTCGAAAATGCGCAGGATTTCGGAGGTATATCTATTCACCAAAAATGATTGTAATTGACTCCCGCAACCGAAAATAATTTTTCCAAAACGATCTGAAATTTTTTTTCCCCGTCGAAAAATTTCACACCTTCTCGAATTTTTTCCTAGAAAGTGGGTAGGATTTCGGGGGTATGTCTATTCACCAAAAATGATTGTAATTGACCACCGGAACCGAAAATAATTTTTCCAGAACGATCTGAAATTTTTTTTTTTTCGTCGAAAAATTTAGGCACCTTGGTCTGGGTTAGGTCTGGATTAGGTCTGGATTAAGTTTGAGTTAGGTCTGGGTCAGGTCTGGGTCAGGTCTGGGTTAGGTCTGGAAGAAAAATTAGATTTTCAGTAAGGAATTTTTTTCTCGAAAATGCGTAGGATTTCGGTGGTATGTGTAATAACCAAAAATTATTGTATTTAACCCCCGCAACCGAAAATAATTTTTCCAGGACGATTAGAAATTTTTTAATTTAATTGTTAATAACTTTTTAACGAAGCCTCTATCAACAAATTGGTATTCTTGATTTTCATCTTATTTTGGCCTCTAGAATCCCTCATTACAATTTTTTCCAGGTGTAGCCGAACACCCTGTATAATGTAGGAGGGGTAACTACAATTATTAATAAACTCATTTATATGTTGTGCAAAAGGTCACAAAATTTTAAGAAATTTTGTCATTATGTACATAATTGTTTTTCTAATTGAATTTAAAAATGACTTCCTCGGGCAATCTAGTGTTAAACACCAAGTGTAATACATGTTCCAAGTAGTACGAACCATTCTTGG